ACCTTTTAAAATATATATTGTGCAACAAAGCTTTGCTAGTTCTTTGTATGTATAAGAACAATTTTGAGACGCCGACTATTCAGTGAGCGTTTTATCAAGTGGGCAGGGATGTTTTGTTCAGATTTCCATTGTGGTCTCTGACACTTGTCAATGATTTCTGCAGTGTTTTAAATCGTATAAGTGCCCCCCAAAACCTTTGTATTGAACTCATTTAATAAATTACAAGTTAATAAGCACAGACATGATTTTTCAGAGTGAGGTGTCAGTAGGCAGATCTTCAGGTTGCAGCAATGCATGGAGAAAAGGAAAGTTCAGAAGTCAGAGTCCAAGATTCTGGATCTGAAAAGCAGAAGAGAAATGGATGAACTAGAGATACAACAAAAGAGTACTTCACTATCAAAATAAGTAATATTTCTTTATCAATTAAAGACTATTAAAATATACCCAGCTATTGATATACTTCAGGCTGGGGTGTGTGTGTGCGCACGCACGCACAATTATGCAGTATTTAAGAGATTTGATAGAACTGTTGCTACATGAGAAGAAATAAGAGCTGCCAGTAGAAGAACAATTAAACATAACATAATTTCCTAATTTACTACATAAGCAGTTGCTATTGTTGCACAAAGAGGTTGTGTGATTGTGAACTGTGGGAGGCAGGAAGGTGTCTATGTAAATAGGATAAGAGGCAATAAAGTAAAACAAACCTCTACAACCTGATGTAGTATTTGAAGTGCAGTTGGACCACCAGACAGAGCGCGGCTAAAGAGGGGGTAGTGTTCGGAGGATTGCGTGGTCAGTGTCAAATGTTGCAGCAAGGTCAAGTAAGATTAGTAGTTTGGAGAAGCCATGGCCAGTTGAATAGCAGAAGTTATTGAGACACCATGAGTGGGGAGGTCTGGATGGTATGGCAGCTGGGATGGATAAAGGATTCAGTGAGGTGTTTTGATAGCAATTTACTTTTCCAGTATGTTGCTCAGAAAAGGTAAGTTGATTGTGGACTGGTTGTTTTCAACCAGTGTTGGTTTTGTCATGTACTAGAGAAAAGTACAATCAGTCTTAATTTGATTTCTCACTTTCATGACTTTGTATAAAGTCTTGCAGTTTTGGAACAGGATAGTGTTTGTATGAAGATCTTATTTTTAAACATTTAAATGAGGGTCCTTGCATCCTTAAGTGTTGAGTAGTTCTCAACATTGATTTAAATCAGATTCTTTAATATGTTTTTGTTTCCTTGTTGGTGTAAGACAGACAAGACTTCAACAATGCTGTTGAGTTGAACTTGGGTGGGGAGGTCTTTGCTACAGTTTGTCATTAATTCCATATAAACCTACTTTCTATAAAAGTGAGTTAATGACTTGCTGATAGATTTTATCTTTTTTGCGGTTTTTAAAATTTGCTTAGAATAGCTATTGTTCAATAATAAGGAATAAACAAAGGAAGGTAAACTTTTTAAGGTTAGACTTAATAGCTAAAACAAAAAGCTTAAAGAACTACAATGCTTGTGTGGTTAATACTGTTCAATGTATTAATATGAATTTTTATAAAAAAATACTGTGATCACCGTCAATTTTAAATGGTTAGGGTTAGCATAACCTGAAATCTAGGGACAGAAAATGTTGCTATCAGTAACATTCTATTTTGTGGTGAAATGAAAGCTTATAAAATCATATTTGTTACTATTAGTATGTTTAGAGGGCATAAGTAACAGGTTAAGGGGGAGGAGAAGTCAAAAATATAACAAGTACTTCATATCATTTTCTTTCAACCTTAACACTTCACCATGAACATTATAAATGACTCTTTCTCCTTTAGGAACTGACTTGCTTTAGAATGATGTATGAAATAATGTGTGTTTTGCATGTCCTGTTTGTAATGATAAAGGTCATATAGTATCATTTACATAATCTCCAGCCAGAAATGAACTCCAGCAATATCTTCTGTATAACATATACATTATCTGAGGTTTAAAACTCTCATTATTCATGAAAGTTAATTTTACAGTGGGTGTGAATGATCTATCTTATGGCTGCTTTTTTGATCATTCTATAAAATAATATGGAGCAAAGCCTGCACAAATAGCAGGAAAACCAGTAAAGAGTGATGCATTTGCCTGACTCTCTGTATACCCGATTGGATCTTGATTGATGGCAATCATTTGTCTTTGTCAAAAAAAGGAGAAAAATTCAGACATTGAAATAAGAGTGCTATCAAACTTTCTACAATGGCAGAAAGATTCTATTAATGTGGCCTCAGAGTATTAACTGTCTCTGTTGGGAAATGATAAAGAATGTTAATTTTTTTTCTGGAGCATGTTTAAGTGTAAAATGCATTATTTTGTCTACGTGGTAAGACTAAAAGTGGCATACTTCAGATTTATAACATGCTGGAATTGGAAGTAAAAACAAAACAAAACGTAAATTAGAAAAAATAGAAAAGAGAAATAAAAAGCCTAATAGGATAGCTTAATCCTTCTGATTTTGATTTCTCCACAAAACAATAAAAGTTTAAGTAGCATAGTGTCGTAAAATCCTTAATGCTGCATTCCATTTGATATTGGAGCTTTGAAGACTAACTTCAAAGAAGGCTGAACAAGAACCAAAGAAAAAGATATAAAATAAACAAAAATTGGAAAACTTAGTCATGGAAATCCTTTTTTATGTCAAACCTAAGAATACTGACCTACTACTTTAAAGGGACTTTAAGTCAACTTCCTCATTAATTAAGCTTAAACTTCTAGAAATAAAAAGCATGTGGTTGTGGGTAGTTGTGTGTTCTTTGTTTTTTTTTAAATAAAGTGTGATATATGACAAAACAGTGCTGGGAGCAGTAGAATATTTTTCCTACATATAAAGGAAGGAAAGACTTCCAGTAATTACTTGGTTTGCCATATCACATATGTTCTGTGGAATTTTATTATACAGTTGTTATCAGTTCTAGCTCTTTTAAAGTAAATATTAGAGTAGAGGTCTAATTACTAAAATACTAAAGTTCCAAAATTATTAACATAGCACACTTGGCTCAATAAATACTGCTACTTCAGTCGAGTAACATTACCGCCATGTTGTTTCTAAATTCTTAAGGCATATAGTTGAAAAATAAATGTTTATTCATTAGTGTTTACTATTCCATTGATAAACATTTAAAATTAAATGGCTGAGAGATTTTATTGTAAAAGACAGCTGAAAGAGAGGCAAGGTCTAGTGGTTTCAGAACGAAATTGGGAATCTGTAACTAGAGAGTTCTAATACTCGTTCTTGCTCAAGGGCACAGAGGACATTAGTGTAAGTCTTTCTACACAAACATCTTTGTAAAAAAAAAAAAAAACGTCCTGGCTTTGTGCTTTCAACAGTGCAGCTCCTCCTGTGGTGTAATTGAGATCGCCAGTGTATGCCACTTATCAGTGTTTTAACACCATGTTGCCTGTTCCTGCTCAGGAAAAACTCTTGGCGACATGGCTGTTAAAATGCCAGTAACTTCTGGTGGTTACTCAGACTGTTGCTGCTCCTGCACAGATGATGGTACAGTTCTGGGTTGTTGTTTTTTTATTTAATAGTAAATGCTAGTGTAGACAAGGCCTCTAATCCTCAGTATCCCATCTGTAAAATTAGAGATACCTGCCTATCTACCTGACTGCAAGATCAGTTCATGTTTGGGAAGTTCTTTGAAAATGTAAGTGCTGTATACTAATATCTGCTACTTGTCAAGTGCCCCAAAATATACTAAGCAACTTGCAAAATAAGTAGAGGAAGAGTCCATGCCCCATAGAACATAACTTTGTATATAGTATCAGTTGTCTGCACAATGAGAATGTGTCTTCCAGTTTATTAAGGGTTTGTGTAAATGGTTTCTGATGATTGAGGGAAGTTTATGGATAGATTTTGATTCTGTATGCATTTCTACAGCACCTTTCACTGCAGTTTCTGAGCTCTCATAATTCTGCTTAACACTCTAATGTTCTTTACATATTGAAAGTGCTGTACAAACATAACAAATTCTCAAAGCACTTCTTTGGGGTAGAAAATGTTATCCCTGTTCTGCAGAGGGGAAAATGAGGTAGAGAGGTGAAGTGACTTTCCCAAGGACATGCAATGAGTCACTGACTGAGCTGGCATTAGAATCCAGAACTCCCTGATTCCCAGTTATTGATTCATTCCTCCAGGCTAATGTTGCCACAACATAATAACTGCAAAATGATTATTGCAATATCTACTGCAGATGAAGCCCAAAAAAGTGAACAGAATATAAAAATGCCAGATACCACTGTGATACACAAACCTAGAAACAAGGACATTTTGGGTTAAGATTTTCACATAGATTTTAATCCTACTGCTTAAGGTCTCAAGCATTCGAACTCATACGCTATAAGGTTCTCTATCAGTGTATGCCACACAGCACTTTAGATGCTTCTTTAGGAATTAATTGTAATAGCTGGTACATGTTGTAGTTACTCCATGTATGATGCATACTGGGGAGATAAATATTTCCCTAGCAGGAGTGTGTACTATAAAATACTGTGTTTCATAGATTCGTTCATTCCAGGGCCACAAGGAACCACCATTGTGATAATCTAGTCTGACCTTCTACATAATACAGGCCATAGAAATTTCCCAAAATAATTCCCAAGCATATCTTTTAGAAGAACATTCAATCTTGATTTTAAAATGGCCAGCGATGGAGAATCCACCACAACCTTCAGTCAATTGTTTCAGTGGTTAATTACATGCACTGTTAAAAATGTACACCTTATTTCCAGTCTGAAATTGTCTAGCTTCAACTTTCAGCCATTGGATTGAGTTATACCTTTCGCTGCTAGATTGAAGTTTCCATTATCAAATATTTGTTTCTCATGTAGGTATTTGTAGACTGTAATCAAGTCATCACTTAACATTTTCTTTAAGCTAAATATATTGAGCTCCTTGAGTCTCTCACTATGAGGCATATTTTCTAATCCTTTAATCATTCTTGTGACTCTTCTCTGAACCCTCTCCAATTTATAGACATCCTTCTTTATTTGTGGATGCCAGAATGGGACACAGTATTCCAGCAGCAGTCACGTAAGTGCCACATACGGAGGTAAAGTAACCTCTCTACTCCTCCTTGAGATTCCTCTGCTTATGCATTCCAGCATTACATTAGCCAGCTTTTGGCCACAGTGTGACACTGGGAAGGCTCACGTTCAACTGATTATCCACCACAAGCCCAGTTTTTTTTCCAGTCACTGCTTCCCAGGACAGAGTCCTCCATCCTTTAAGTATGGCCTACGTTCTTTGTTCCGAGATGTATAAGTTTACATTTAGCCATATTAAAAAGCATAATGTTTGCTTGCCTGCTGCTTATCAAGCAATCCATATTGCTCTGTATCATGATCTGTCCTCATTATTTACCATTCCCCCATTTTTGTGTCCTCCAGTCAGTGATTATTTTGTTTTCTTCCAAGTCATTGACAAAAAATGTTAGTGTAGGTTCAAGAACCAATCCCTGTGGGACCCCACTAGAAACACACCCACTCGATGAATATTCCCCATTTACAATTACATTTTGAGAGCTGTCATTTAGCTAGCTTTTAATCCAGTTATTGTGTGCCATGTTAATTTTATATCCTTCCAGTTTTTAATCAAGATATCCTGCAGCACCAAGTCAAATTATATTACATCAAATACATATGTTGATCAGTCCTTTTTGCTCAAAAATAATTTACAAAAATTGTTGGGCAATACCAAATGTTTTGGTAAGTTATCCTTAGGTATTTGTTGCTGTGATTTGTTGCTTACTCTTACAGATTCACACATGTATTTCATTTCCAAAGTCCAGCAACATGATTCCCTATAAATTGGGTGCCAGTTTAGATGAAAGACATCCTCCTTGTGAAAACCATAGTCTCTTTTCCCTTTTAGTGACTAGTACAACAAAGAATAAATCTTAATGGTGCAAATGAAAATGAATACTGATGATCTTAAGAAGTTATAACAGAAGATCTGATATCATACCAGTAATTTTGTCATTGGTGTTTAAAGTGACTTCTGAATTCTGATTGGGGGTTGAGTTGGCATAGTACATATATGCAGCCACTAGCCGTTCATATTTTAACTAAAGATTAAGAATAAAATAATTCATGAAAATAAACTACTGAATTAAAAGTCATGTATCATTCCCTTCCCTTAATATAAACATTTACCTTAAAAAGAATATACTCTAAAATTCTGATTTACCAAACTCTGGTTAATCAAAATTCTCAGGAGTTGTATTCAAAAAGTCTGTGCTTCCACCCTTGCATATTGAAGATGATGTTGGCCAGCTTTGTAGATTAGCTAGCCTTAAAAGATCAATGCTGATTGGAGAACAGGCTATTCTACAGCCAACCAATCATTATCTCTTCACTGTTACCTAGGTTTGGGGAAATCCTCAGTGTAGTCTTTTCAAAATGCATAGGCGACTCCTCTGTCTTACTGAACCCTGTCTTTCTAAAGGCTTCCAGCATCCTCCATCTCTGGGATTTTGGAGTCATGCTGTATTGAACAAACATATGAAATACAAACTGAAACTTGAATTTTCTTAAAATAGCAGAGCAATATTTCTTCAATTATTTTTGTGGCTCAAGTCTGCTGATGGGTGGAAGTTGACAAGTTAAACATAGCCGTCAGAAGTAGTCTTTGTATATATGTTCATTTTCAAAGGGACACAAGGTCTACATTATGTACACAAACAAGAATAAGAAGATAATGCCTGTGCAAGTCTTGATCAGTTTTCCAATGGTTTAGTAGGTCTCTCTTTTTGTTGCATAAACATAGATGCTTGCTAGGAGTTAATTCAGTCTGAAGATGATGAATTGCCCTCCCTTACTTGACATGATGGGGAATCAAAATTATTCATTAGTTTAAAAAAAAATCAGTTTCTTCTGGGGTATCTCCTCCAGTAATGCTATCTAACAGTCCTCTCTTGTAGGTTCTCACTTTGATTACCAACTGGCTGTTTATATGGCTATTTATCTGTCCATAAACCCCAGAAGCACCATTCTTTTCATATTCTACTTCAGTCTTCTCTTCACCTAAACTAAGATTTATTTCTAAGTCTGTCATATATGCAAGATATTTGTTTATGCTTGACTAGAATTACCTTACTTTCAGATGTGTCCATGGAAAAAATATTTCCTATATTTAAAGAACTAAATTGAGGATGAAATATGTCTGATCTTATAGCAGCGTTAGGAGCATTAATAAAGCTTCAGCAACTAACTTAGAAATGAGAAAAAATGTTGTTTGTAATTTTTGTATAGTATTGGACAGTCTTGAATTTCTAGCCTAAATAGAGAGCTAGTATTTTATGGTAAAATTAACTTCAGTTCTTCTGCAAAAGTGTTCCTAGACCTTTTATTTTTTCCAGTGGAAGGAGGGTTACTGACATGCCGTTTGCTTACACTTGTGCCAACCCTGCTGTGTGGCTCCATCTAGTTTCTTTTATCCCCCATGTTTCAGGTGCTGAGCAGGAAAAAGTGTTCCATAGGGCCTCCAGTATCTTGGGCAGGGGAGAACATTCATGGTTATTTCTTCAGCTGAGTAGTTACGGAAGATATGGGGCCTTATATATAATCATAAGATATAGATAATTATACACACGCATACTAGAGCTGGTTTTATATTTTAAATGTGTTTTTGATTAAAGAATGAGAAATAGCCAATTTTCACCAAATTTATCAGGTTTTTCACAAAAAAAAAGAGAGCTCAAAATTGTCCATTGTTGAAATGCCATTCCCACAAAAAATTTGTTTTGTGTTGCAAACTCATTAACTTTTGAAGAAAAATGTTGACAAAAATGAAAAAAGTTCTCATTTTCATGAAAAATTTTCATGGGAACAAAAAACTTCCTGACCAAATCTATGGAAGGCAAGATTCCATTCATTTAAAAATATAGCTATTTTCCTTACATACTAAGTGTTTTAAATTTCATCTTGTGAGATTTTTTTCCCTTACTTAGAGACTGCACTTATGCTGGTCTGTTCAATTTTGTATTAGCTATAACACTGTATTGTGTATATATACAGTGTTGAAGGTTTTCTCCCTATACTGTGCATTTGCTCATAGGTGTGAATGTGTATAGATATCAAACACAATAATGTTTGTGATAAAATAACTTGGATTATTAAAACTGATTTCCTGCTATAATTAAGGTAAATATTAGTTAATTCAGCTTAGGAGGACATAATAGCCTGATAAAGTGTGTTCTAATAGAGCTTTGAAGTCATTTTATGTACCTTATTAACTAGTGTTGAGTTTGTCTCAAAAGACAGGAATTTTGTTCATTTACATTGGAAAATACACATTTTAAAATCTCATCTGTTTTTCAATTTGAATGTGGTAATCTGCAAACAGGCTTAATGTTATGACCGAACAACAAAAACTTACGGATATTCAGGTCACCATAATGACCCATTTGGGGGTATGACAGTATAGGGTGTGATGTAATATACCTAAATTACTACATAAAGATGAGCCCAATAAATTACAAGTGACAGTGTCTTCAACAAGTGACAGCATCAAGAAATTACATACAGAAAGAACTAATATTGCATACGGGGAAATACAAGGGATGGTATAGTTGTTACAGAGAGAATGTTTTGTTCTCCCATTCATGCTTATGGAGTTAAGTGGATAACTCATGCATATGAGGCATTTCCTAGGTGAGTCCCTAAAGATATCTCCCCTTTCTCCTTTTCTGTATCCCTATAATTTTGTTTTGTGATGGTTAACTGCTACATAATAAATATGCATATATATGATTCTCGAGCACATAGAAGGAATCCTCCATTCTGGAGATCAAACTAAGGCTAAACAAATTGCTGAAACTTTTTATTTTGGCACTTAAAATGCTACTCTCCTATAAACACTGGAATTGCATCACAGTCTAAGGCTTTGTTTACATTACCGCTTTTGTCAGTAAAACTTTTGTCAGTCAGGGGTATTAAAAAAACAACAACACCCCCCTGACCAACATAAGTTACATTGACAAAAGTGCAGGTGTGGACAGCACTATGTCTGTAGGAGAGGCTCTCCTGCCGACATAGCTAGCACTACTCATTGGGGGTGGTTTAATTATGCTGGCTGGAGAGCTCTCTCCTGCTGGCAAAGAGCGGCTACACTACAACTGTGCTGCTGTAAGGTCCGTAGTGTAGACATAACCTAAGCCTGCTACTTCTGGCCACAGTAAACAGCTCTTCTCAGCAGCTCTGCTCTGAAGTTGAGGATTTAGGCCACTGATTTTTGGGTTTTGTCAAACATCTTCACTTCTCTGTTCTTTCCACTCTTCCTGATGATCTGTACTGGGACTATGGCCTACGGGGCTTAGTGGTGCTGCCGCAACCTTGCACCCTGTGTGCAGGCATTGTACGCTACCCAGAAATGGTCATTGCTGCCCCCATTCTTCACTTTCTCTCTCAGATATCACTGCTCACCAGGAAGAGTCTGTCAGGGGTGCTGAGTGGACTGGCTGAAGTTTGCTCCTCATTGTATGTGGCTCTTATTGTCAGAGATGAATGACAGGATACCTTCAGAGAAAGAAGTGATGTCTAGTGCAGACACAGACAGAAGTAGGATTTGTAGGGATTATGGCCAGCCTCTGAAGGGAATCCATTCTGCACCTGTGATTTGCGCTGCCCCTACCCTCCGCTCTGGCTCCCTGAATCTGGCAACACCATACTCAGTGCAGGGTAACCCCTCTGCCCACAGGGTGGATTCAAGATGCCTGAAGATGCTCCTACACCATAAGGACATGCACCTTATGGGGTCACATTACAATCCACTGAAAATGCCTTACCAGTGTTATGGGGATTATGCTTGGAGGGAGCCCACATCCATGGTTCTGCCAACCCAACAGCCTCTTTCTCCAGCCACATTGGTGGTTTCTGGAGATAAGCCTCCAAGCACGGATATGAATGATCCCATCAATTCTTCCCTGTCCTTGTTGGGAAGAAGGCTTCCATAATTGTTCAAAAATTCTCTATGAAAGCTTCTAAGAGAGTGTCCCAAGAGGTCTCTATTGCCTCTGTGGAGAGTGAATTATT